GGTGGTGCACTCGAAATGGTGGTGCGGTAATCAGGACCATGACGGGCTGCTTTGACCTAATGGCACAGACACGCATACACACGGTAGACTCGTGAAACATTCAAGGCAATGCTTATCAGCTGAGTTTGCAGTAAGGGACTCTAGTACTAGTGAACCTACCAGGACACAAACACACACACGCTTACTACACAGCACACTTTGGTCGTAGCTCTACTTGGACTTCATGAATGCGGTTAGGTGCGTGACCTGGAACCAGTTTAATAAAATACTTTCATCAATTGACCCTTCAGTCATATTTTTGTAAATTAGAAATCAATGAAAAATGCAGTTTAAAATGTTTTATGGAATTGGCCATTAGCTTCTGGGAATATGGGCACCGTTTCATGTTCTCGCGGAAGTGATGGCCAAAAATTACCCTCTAGGGTAATCCTCTGAGAGCTCCCTGCGATTTAGGCCCTTCCACAAGCAGTCTCTCAGTGGGTGTTTGTGGGTGTACCACTGTGTCTCTGTAGAAATGTCCATGTCTGTATGCTTGCCTGCATGTTCACGTGTGCCTCTCTGTGTGCATCTGTGTGACAAAAACAGGCAAATCCATTAGATGAAGTCGTCTTCCCAGTGGCAGGGATGAGCTGCACACCACAAGGTTTTACTTCACTTTATCAGCATCATTCACCACATGAATTTACTGCCCACACTCCTCTATTAACAACACACATCCACATCTATCTAGAGCCAATCCCTAAATGGCTTTACAAATCCGTTAACAGCACACATACAAGAGGTCCCAAATCGAGTCTCTTTGTTAAGGGTAACATTATGTGCTCGGTTTATTGTGGATTGTAATTACGTTTGTTGCACACGTGGTATATGTGCATGAATGACCATGTGTGTCTTTGGGCATAGTGTGTGTGTCAGAAGTCTTGGACAAATTCAAAGACAGAATGACAGTGCAGCGAACGTCGAGAAATATTGAAAATCAATGAAGTTTATTTATCTTCAAGATTCGTTCTGAACGAAATGGCCCTTCCAATATGGCTACAGATGACATCAACGACCCACTACATTCCGGTAAGACTCTCCCAATATGGGCCATGCTCATTGCAACTAAATCATGCCATTCCACTATAAAGTCACAACATCCCTTACACGCACGTGTATACCTAATAGGTTGCTCAGATTTTCTATGTGAAACACTTAAATGTTAAGCGACTCAATGTCCTGGTTTTGGACATTTTTCAGAAAGGCTCTCCTGGTGCCACAAAGCAACTACAATTTTTTTTTTGAATTTGTAATCGATGAAAATGTTCTGGCCTAATGCTCAACTCTTGATACGACCAAAAGGTGGGGCTACCTGAGTAGTGGGTGGGGTTGGCATAGCCTATGAGTATAGTATGCAGGCATACAGAGTGAGGCCACTAACTGTGTGGTGGAAATCCGGGAATTGAATGAACATGGCTATGTAAAGTGAACGAGGCTGAAGGAGAAAGGAGCCTGAAATTTGGCATATCTGTGATTTTGGGTTTTAAATTCTAGATTTAAACAGTGCATCGCTCCAGTGCTTCCTAATATCGGAAGGAAGAGCATTCCAGACAGCAGCAGAAGTGCATCTCGAAGCGCGCGATGTAGTGACTATCTTTGTCATCCAGCTCTGAGAAAAAGCTTCAAAAATACAGATAAAGGACATTCTATAACCCACACTTTGCATAGAATGATTTAGTGGTTTCCAGCGTGAGGCAAAAGATGTATTTGGCAGAGACATCAGAGAGAGCTCAGACATGTGCATGAGTGTGTGAAGGTCAAACCAGTGACTGATAATGAGAACTTGAATGAGCCGTGTGTTTAGACTGAGTAATGTTTGAGCACTCAGAGAGGGCCCTGGTTGAGTACTGAACACTTGTGTAATCTTGTTCCAGATCACGGATGAACACTTGGTTGTACCGCTTCCAAGTACTGAATGTGAATTGGGAAGGGGTCCTTTTGGGCAGGTACTCCGATGCTGGACCACAAGACAAAAAAGAAGTGGCCATCAAGATGCTAGCGAACACTTCTACGTAAGTTTGAACAACGACATGGACCACATTTTAAAAAGATCTGAATTCGTGAAGAGAACCATAGCTTGTAAGAATTTGTGTTAATTTACACATTTCAGAGGAAGTCTAAACAGTAATAATTTAAAGTTGATTTTGTTTAACCTCGTGAGAACTGAAGATACCATGATGAGTCTCATTTGCAAGAGTGACTTGGAGCATTCATCTGCCAGTAGGGGACAATGATTGCTATGTTGCACAATACAAATTGAGGGATTTGTGGTGTAGGTTCGATATTGGCAAACATTGTACCCAGTTACAAGCACACAGTGGCATACTCTTGCAAATTACGTCAGGTGATCTTTAGCATCCATCGAAGCAGACAGCATGCATTATGGTTATACACCCGCAGTATTAATAAGAGCGGCCACTTGAATCGAACCTTGAACCTCTGCAACGAGTGGCGAACGTGCTGCTTAGCCGGGTCATGTATCCATCTCTATCAAAGCTGTTGTTTCTGTATGAGTTTATAATTTCATAAATGTCATCAAACACCATCAAAATAATGTTTGATTTGTCATGAAGAGGCAATATGTAATTTGTATGGTGCCTGCCACGTGAACGTGGCGATCAAACCACTGACCAACAGCGTGGGTGAGTGCTGCCCTTTTGCTCATTATATTCTATTCTTCTATATGGCACATGTTCAGGCACTAATACCAATGCCAAGGTCTGCTAGCCACAAGAGGTCTTCAGGAGAGATTTTTGTTTTACTTTTGCAATTCCACATTAAAGCAGCAAAGACTACATTGGTTGACAATATCGTCCACAGTTTGGGTTGGAGCAGCAGGACACTTTCTACCTTACTCGCTTAACATAGCTCAAAAACTACAGTGATCATAATCCAGTGGTGCACAATTTTCACCTCACTGAGATGGGATGCGGTAACTCCTTCGAGTAACGACCATTGACAACTTCCCAACCAATTGGTGCAGCTTCCCCAGTTGGCGCTGATTACGTCGACCGGGCAGGGACGATGTCGACGTTGACCCGGGATTAAGCGCTCATAGCCATGATTCTGGAGCTCTGTTGACTGAGCCATCCCATGTGTGTGATAATGCCTAAAAATATGCAAGACTTAAAGAGT